TTGACTCATAGGAACGAGCCAAAAGCTACCTGAAGTCTCATCTGGATATTTCTGGAGTACTGTTGCCACCCCCAATCCACAGTCTCTTACAAAGAACTCTCCCACCCTATTTCTCCATCTGGTCTCTGGTGAATTTCTTTCTCCGTCTCTGAAATGATGCTGCACCGGCTGTTTGTAACGGGAACACCAGGTGGCGCAACGGGTCAGACACTCATTGCTGACAGTGGGGACCAGATGCTTCCCTAATCCCCAATGTGGGCTCCATGTGTTCTTGGCTCAGAGGCGGAGTCTTTGCAGCCACGGGGAGGACTGTGTTACACGCTGTCAACCTGAATCTCAGAGCATTTATCTCCCTCCCGCTTGTGTGAGCTGCTAATCGCTCGATTTACTCTGGGACAGACTAGAATTTCAATTTTCATTCCTTGGTGGGCAGAAGCAAGAGAACACAGAGTTATTGTCCCTGAGAGTAACTCTTGGTTCCTGAGTGATGTCATTATAATGAATATCCTTAACAACTTGTCGAGGATAGAAGACCAGAGCGTTATTCACACTGGACTTCAGGAAAGCTGGGGCTGAAGCTCAGCAATGTAGTACAGTAGAAAGGACCTGGATTCAAAACCCAGTGATGATGCTTACTCCCTAGGTGACCTTAGGCAAGTCATTGAATTTCTCTGTGCCTCACTTTCCTCATCTGTAAAATGAGGGGAGGGACTAAATGGTTTCTGAGGTCCCATTCAGGTTTTTAAAAATAGGGGACGTGAGCTCAGCTCAGGGTAGAATTGGGAGACAGAGATACAGATTTGGGAATCTGTGACCATGACAGCCACATAAAGAAGACAAATTCACTAAAGGTCGCTCCAGGTCTGTGGTCCTACCTACTTCTTGCTATATGACCATGAGTAGGTACCTTCACTTGCCTGAGTTTGTTTCTTCATTTATAAAATGGGAATAATACTTGTCCTGTCTACCACACAGTTGAAAGGAAATCATTCTGTAACCCATAAAGCTCATTAGATGTGAGCTGCTATTACTGTGTTACTGATATCGAAAGTTACCCAGGGTTAGACAACTGAACAAACAGGAGCGACTCAGTGGACATGGCAGCAGAATGAGAACATTGGTGATGCCAAGTTTTAAAAAAGAAAAAAAAATGCAATTTCTTATTTTTCAAAAAAGGGTGATGGTTGGCCCATCACTACAACATATAAAAGTGTTTTTACAAATTTCAAAGAATTATATTCCCAGTGAATTGCCCTTTACACAACAGATATGTTTCTGAAGAGGTAAATGGCACATATAACCCTGTTTTCAATACACTAGGGGGAGCTCTGTATTTAAAGGAAACCTAGGGTGACTCCTTTCGTTAAGTGAAATATCATCCCCTAGTCTATTTGTTTTAACTATATATTTGGTTTCTCTTTCAGTCAAACATTTACCCACATGCCTCTCTGGTTAAGCCCCTAGAAAACCACAGCAAAGAACAATGGAAATCAAGTCTGTCTAAAATGGAGTTGGTGGAGTGTTATCTTCCAGCACATCTTTTTTTGTGGCTCTTCACTAAAATACTGGACCATATCTCCTATGTTCCTAAATTGGGTGGGAGGGGGCTGCAGCACAGGGTGAGGGAGAGAACTCTTGCCCTGAAGTTGGAAGATGTGGATTCCACTCTAATTCTGTCACTTAATCTTCTGTGAGCAATTCCTGGTTCTCAGTATTCTCATCCATAAAATGAAGGATTTGAGGTAGATATTCTTTCTCTAAGGCCCTTTACAGCTCCACTAATCTAGTTTCTACAAATAAATTAGGTGTGATATTATGGGGACTTGGAAGCACTACCAGTTTTGGGAAAAGGGGAATCTTCAATCCATAAAACTCCTGGGGAAACAACGTTCTCATGCCATGGGCTCCTAGATCGCACCAGACCCATTGCTTCACTTGGCCCAGAGTAGATCTGAATCCCAGAATGACTTCCTTGACATCCTCCAGATTGGGAGTAATCTGACAAAGCCAACCCATTTTCTCCCCGTTCCCAAATGTTGGGATAGTGTGAACCCTTGAATCTGACCCTTACCTAGATTTTTCACTCTTCCAATTTGGTCAGAATCAGACTGGTTGTGATAAGAGTAGTGCAACATGACCAGAGGTTTATATGAACACTTGTTGAATGTGTTCTAGTGAGGATCGCACTGGTGAATGGAATGCATATAAATGAGGTCCCTGCTAGCTCAAAATTCTGTGATAGCATACTACCCCCCGGGCCGCTGTGTTCTCTTGCTGCTCTTTACACTTCAGGTCCCTCTCTCTCCCTGCACAGCTCCTACCTCAAAACAATTCCACATAGAAATCTGTCTTCTCTGTTCTCAAAAATTTCCAGAGGAGATGCCAGTTTCCTGGGCATGCACACACCAGTAGCTCACTGCCAGAGCAGGGGGAGGCTTTTTCTAAAATCTACTTGAAGACCCCTGAGCTGCTATTCAATCTCTTTCTCTCACAGGGTCTT